AAAAGAATATGAGTAAGACCAAAAAAGTTGAAAAAATCACGTAATGTGTACATTATATCAATTACGAGAGAGTGAATCTTTACATTTATACATAATTCGTAGTTCTAAAATTTGACATTTTCAGTTATAAAATGTATAATTAGTTATGAACTTGTCACATTCATTCTTCTGATTCGATACATTTCTTAATTTCAGAAGTCCCGAGAAAACGGATTGTAACGTTTTTGCCATCTGAAACACAATACAATTCTGTAGTTAGTATTTAATCTTTCTTCTTTATAAATCTATGATAAATTCAATATATAAATTACAATACAATGTCAAAAGTAGCAACCTTAAAAGGGATTTTCTTATTGATGACAAAGAATCCGCCAATCCAAAGACACAAAGAAACCTTTCCGAATCTTTTCATGAAATCTAGAATCTGTGCAAACAACAAATCAAAAGAAAATTCTAAAATATAAAAAAGCACATAAAAAGAGAATTTATAAAAAACAACAAATAATAATTACGGTGGTAAAAAATAAAAATGTATAAAATTAAAGATATTCATTAATTTCGTGTACATTTAATTAAATTGATATAAAATTCTCACATATATTACTACTATTAATATCGTTATATTCAATATAGTCAGACCGTGTTTGTTAGTCTCTTAAAAATCTGCCAGGTGTCATCCAACTGCATCTATTCGAACCTATTGTAAAACAATCAGAACTTTCAAAATATTAAAATTAATGTAAGATATCGGAAGTATTCGATTGTTGTAAAACAAAACCTTGGCATGAGCTTTATGTAACTATAGTTTACTTTCTAATTCTAAATTACACACATCAAACGTGGTGTTGGAAAAATTCGTTTCTCAATTCAGTTTGTAATAAAATCAATTTGATGTGAAGAAAGATAAAGTAAAGATAAAGCAGATTGAACAATTCTAGAAATGGTAGACCTTAGACAATACTCACCGTTCTTCAATGAGTACGAAAATATATATATATTGTTATTAAGGTTAAGGTTTATAAGCAAATATTGTGGTACTCTATTTGCATGCAACCACAGGAAAAAAGCTACTAAATGTTTCAGAAAATCTTTTTATTTCTATCAGTTTGCATATATGCATTAAACTAATGAGGGGCTCGTCTTAAAATGCATCTTTGAGTTGTAGCGCATCACATCGCGAAAGATGCAAAAAATCAAAAAAGATGCGTTTCAGATGCGTTCCTAAATTTCCTAAATTCGATGCATATTGTAAGCGAAATGAGAACTTCGGTGGTGTATATATTAAGGCTGAGACAGAAAAAATTTGCTAATTGACACAAAGACAAATACAAATAATGTCTATTTTTAAACGTACGAGCACATTTTTGTAGGAAAATAAAATTATTCACATGTGTAGCAGCATAAGTTATTCTTTAAGGACACTAACAGCAGTGATCCTAAAACACTAATAATCTATTTGATCTTAGTATAAAACACAATACAATCTTTTGTCAAGATTAAAAATTATTACAAAAATTAATAAGAACACAATTTATTTAAAACAAACTGAAAAATTATATAAGCCATACCTTTAGTTTCTGTTCGAGTTTCAGGTTACACACAGCAAATTGACGAATGTCTTGAAAACCATTCTGCATCTGAAGTGTGAGAAAAACAAATTATAAATACAGCAATTTAATGTTAATAGATACAAAACACACACTCGTATAATATTAATATTCGAATCGAATATAAAAGTAATTATAATATATAAAACACAAATAAACATTTACCGTAAATGCAAAACAGCACAATAAACATCCCCAATATATACAGATTAAAGTTAAAACAATAGATATTCCTAAGAGTATCGTTTGGTATAACTCATTCATTTCTAGAAACAAATATATATAAAACACAAATAAGCATTTACCGTAAATGCAAAACAGCACAATAAACATCCCCAATATATACAGATTAAAGTTAAAACAATAGATATTCCTAAAAGTATCGTTTGGAATAACTCATTCATTTCTAGAAACAGATATAAATAAAAGAAAACACTCGTTGTCCAAAGGATACCAAAATAAATTACGCAGTATATATAATCAAACTTTGTATTTATTTGATTTACGAATTGCCACAATTCTTCGTGATGCTGCAGAAAATCGTTTAGTTCATTTTCCACTGATTTATTGTTCTCTTTTATCGCAAAAAGTTCATGCAACATTTGTTCAAATTCTTTATGAGCGACAAACAATAATAAAGCTGCTAACAATAGCCCGTAACAAATTCCTCCTATCAAAAACGTTTGAACTAGACCTTGGTGAACGCTACACAATAGCCCCTCTCCCTCAAAATACTGTTTTTTCAGCATAGCGGGATAATACAAAAATACATTAGCGAACTCAAAAGAAATAACAGTCGCCATTGCAATGAATGCAACGAATAGAGAGATTTTCCTCATTGCAGAATTTTTTTCGTGTATCATTTTCTGTCGAAAATATTCATGTCTCAATCCAGTTTTTAATAAAATAAATTTGTTGTTTCGGAAAAAATTGAAGCATATTGAATAAAATAAATATAGGAGTCCAAAAACAACACTGAATGTTGTACGGACATCTTCACTTCCCACATCATCAAACAATCCTTTACAAATTATATAATTACTGATACCTGGTGTTGCATGCAACAAGAGCAAACAAGAATTATTCCATAAAATGAAATTTATACATTTGATGTATATATTTTTAAATCTAGCATTTTGCAGAATTGATATATGTTGTTTGCCGTTACATAAGTAAAATGGTTCTATACCGAAAACAAAAGACATCATCCAGCAAGGTCTGAGAAAACAGCACATGCAAATTTTATCTTGTATATTCGAATTCATGTTTTCAACTACAGCAAGATTCTTTCTATCGAATAGTATAAAGATTTAGTTCTTTTATTATTTGCAATTCCGTTTTTTTCTTTTCATAACACAGCAAATTCGTGTTTCTGCAAATTATAAATTTTAAAAGTTTCGATTTAAACCAGAAAACCAGAAATGCTGTTATATTCTCTGCTGTATTATTTCTGAAATTAAAAGTGATAAGAAGTCGTAGCTGCATTATATATGCAATTGGGTATGTAAGATATTTACATCCGGAATTTATTACATATAATAAATGTGAGACATTTACGTTCTTTATTAAAAATATTTGAATTTAATTGATTGAGTGACCAATATAATGCATTTAGTCATTAAAATACTTAAATGTTATTTCAATTATCCTTCTGTTATTATTAATGTATGGTAATATAACTGCTTTAATAGATTTTTACTTTCAGTAATATGCTAATGGACAGCAATCAGTTTTCTAATTTTAGTTCTAAAATGTTTATTTTCTTTTTTACTTTCAAAACTTAATTGAAGTTACATAAATGTTTTATAGTAATTTTTCCTTGTCATGCAATATTCGAGTTTTGCAATTTAAAAAAATTTGAAAAGTGATAAAAACTAATTTCGAACAGTTCACACAAGACAGAAAAACATTCCAATGACAAAATTAAAAACAGAAAAAAATTCTAAATTATTTTATAAATTGAAAAATTTGCATATAATAGTAGTATACAAATGACACGTACTAATCACAAAATTAATTTATTTTTTAAAAATTGTTTCATATAAATTTTAATATATGTTAAGTAATTTTTTCAGATAAGTTAGAGTTTTGAGTGATAATAGTTTTAAGTAAATTAAATTTTAATATTTGTTAAAGTGAGTGGTAATTTATAACATTTAAATTATTTTAATTTTTACGTAACAATACAGTTATACAAGTATTTCCACCTTAATTTTAAGTAAATTAAGTAAATTAAATTTTAATATTTGTTAAAGTGAGTGGTAATTTAAAATAATAATATAACATTGAAATTATTTTAATTTCTCTTTTATTTTTACGTAACAATACAGTTATACAAGCATTTCCACTTTTTCCTTCAATTTATTTATATTAATACACAATTCTCCCATTAAATACAAGTGTAAATTTTCACGATTGCGTACGATATATTCTTTATTTAATTTTTGATATTTTATAATGTGACACCAAGAAAGTTGGCATTGGAATTCGTCAATAAATTGTTCGTCAAGTTTTTGATAACGAGAAACAAATTCCCAGTTTAGGTAATCATGTATTTGACGTAAAGTTGAGGTTTTTAATTGTTGGTGTTTTAAAAATTTTTTTATATCAAATTTATGTATGAAGAGGGTAATAAAATTATCCGAAAGATGCTGGTATTCGGCGATTTTCTTCCAATCAAGATGATCTGAAAATCTTGTTAGGAAGTGTTCATCTAAATTTTGATGTTGGCAAATTAAATCCCATTTTGCATATTCCATATTTTGCATAATAAATAAGGTTGAAAAACGGTAATTTTTCCATATGTGTTCCCAATTTAAGGTCTTCGCAAATTCTGAAATAAACGTTTCGTTTAAATCGCGTCTTTGACTGATCGTATCCCAATTAACATAATTTTGAAATTGTCGAATAGTTTTTTCTTTTATTGATGCAGACGAGAAAGCTTCCCAGTCGATGGTGGTGAGTGTTTTGTCTATAAAAAACAAACATTTTCTTTTTTAAAATTATTTGCTGCTTTATTATTGAGTATGTTGTAAAAATGAGTACATAATACTTGGATTATTTGAATACATATTATTAATTGAGTACATTATAAAATTGAGTAAAATAATTGAGTACATTATAAAATTGAGTAAAATAATTGAGTACATTATAAAATTGAGTAAAATAATTGAGTACATTATAAAATTGAGTACATTACTTGGGGTACAAATTATGTTTTTTGAGAGAAAAAAAAAGTTAATTTTCATTACAATCTCCAAAATCTTCTTTTTCAGACAAAATAATGTCGTTACAATCTATCTTTTGAGATAAGTCAATAGGGGAATTTTCTTTTTCATGAGATAAAGTATCTTCATCGGTAATTTCATCATCATCATCATCATCATTTTCTTCTTATTTTTCAGAAATGTTCCCCAAATCTTTATTTTGAGGAAAAGCAATTACGCTACATTTTCCAAAGCCTTTTTCATTTCTGTCAGTATAGTTTAATGAATCTGTTTTTTCTATAAAACTTGGATGCATAATTAGTTCGAAAATTATTTGGGCAATGGTTGATCCAGGTTTAAACTTAATAATTTCCGATCCGAAATTATACATTACCACTCCAATGTTTCCACGATAGTCGAAGTCAATAACTCCTGCATTGATCAGAAAATTGTTTAAAGATAAAGAAGATTTTGGAGCTATTCTAGCATAACAGTTATTTGGGATTTCTAAGGGCAAAAATCTGTAAAAATCACTTTTTGTTCATTGGGCTTAATTTCAAAGCCTTGTACACAAAATATATCATATCCAGCTGCTCCCATAGAAGCCTTTTGTGGACATATTACATTTTTTGATAGCTTTTTAAAATAAACAAATTCTAGAAAATAAAATATTTAATTGTTTTTATTGCATAATAAATGGGGGAAAACTTTACAGGACCGTAAAGAAAAACAATTTTTTTTGCGTTTTCCTTATNATTCAAAATCTCAGCGCGCAGCCAGCGCCTCTCAGCACTTCTGGTTGCTGCCAGTGCACTGCCAGCAAATTGCAAGTGGATTTTCAGTGCTCGATACAACAGCAAAGAAGGTGACGTTAATAAGAGCACAACTTTACGTTGACAGTTTCGAATTTACTGTAGTTTACTTATTGGTGAATGTACCCTGAATAAATTAACATCAGGTTAGTATATTAATAGATTATTTTAATGTACCAACATATTTATATATGAGACAATTTTTTAATTGCATATTCTGAAACCGTATCTTCTTTTATTTGTTTTTTTTTTCCTGTCACAAATAGGTGCATAGATATACACTGGGCAACTTTGACATTACTTTTTATTCAGAAATATCTGATGGGCCGATTCGCGTTTCAGACATACGTCCTTCTCTCAGAGGGGCATGTGTCTAAAATGAACAGAAAAAGAAACAGACTTATCAATTTCAAAACTTTTATTCATAAAATACTATTAAATAATAAGTAATATATTAAATATTGAAGTACTTTCCTTTTTCAGTTGAATGGTCTGATAGTGATATTCAGTTCCTAATCAACACCAAACTAGAAAAAAAGAGTGATTTTAAAAAGCCAATTAATAAAACAAAACTATGGAGTCAAATTTCACAGGTCCTACTAAACAGATGGAACAAGTTTACAGGGGAGGAATGTAGCCATAAATGGCAAAAGTTAATGCACACATTTAGGCAGAACTTGGATAAGATGAAAAGATCAAAAGANTAAAATGGGGAAAGAGAAATTTTATTTTGTAGATATGTTGTTACTACATGATTTTTGCTTTTAATTCCGTATTGCTGGTGCCTTAATAGTTCTGCATTAAATAAAACTTCTTTATATTTATCGTGATTAAATGTTTTTACAACAGATTTTTTTACACCCTTAGCAGTTTTTTTATTTTGTTTATCGAAAATATAAGAATACATTTTTGGTTTTAAGGAGCAAAATTCAATTATCGGTTTCGATAGTGTTTCGTCTTTAAAATATCCTAATTTATTTTTGTTCGCTTCGTTATATAATTTGTGAGTTTTGGGATAATTACTAAAATCAAAGATATCGGGAAACGATTTAAAATCCTTGTAAACATCGTTCGTATAAATTTGAAGCGTAAGAGAATCAGTGTCGATATATAATAAATGTACATTTTCGCCGTATCTGTTTTTAAATATTTTGTAAAATGTTTCGTAAATGTGCAATTTGCTTAATTCTAATATGCAAAAACCTATATAAATTGGTTTGTCCAAAGTTAAATTAGTTTTTTTCATTTTAAAAATTGTGAGATTATCGTTTATAATTTGAAAATTTTCAACAGATGGCTTAGATAGATATCTGTGATATTGATTTAATGTTGTAGCTGCTTTTAAGTTAATACGCTTTCTTACATTTTGACAGGTTTTGCCAAAAAAACTATTATTCATTAATTTAAAAAATGATTTATCAAAATCGTTAGTTGATTCTTGTCTCTTTTTATTATTAAAAAATATATATTTTTTAAGCCATGCACTTTGGTAAAATGCCAATACTCTATGAATTTTAGTTATTATCAGACCTTCTTCTAAATAAAATTTTAAATTCTTATAATGAACTATATAGTTTGTTTTATCAAAGAGAGTAGGAATTAATTTTTTGTTAGCATTGTTATATTTTAAATTTAATTTATTTAATACTGTTTTTTGATAATTAGATAATAAATCGTATGGGATATTAATATGTTCAGCAGCTAGTGGCAAACAATTATGTCTGTCGTGAATATTTTCTGGATATTTTAAATCTACTTCTAAGATATATCCTACGTTATTTTTGTCAGATATATTACGTATGTCTAAAGCATTTATTTCGTCTTTGTGCAACCATCTAAAATTATTTACAGGTAAATATGCGCTCATTACGAACCCGTAAAGATTATTTGCATCTATCGATAGATTATAATTATGAGGTTGATTTTTATCATAAGTTTCTGGTATTAGAGGATTATTTGCTTTTGCGAATCTTTTCCCTTCCAAACTTATTTCCCCCCTAATACCCCCTTCTATAAATAAGTACATATCGAGATCGTTAAATAATTCTAATTGGATTTTTGTCATTTTAAAACCGCAGTTCCATGTTAAATCTGGTGTTGTTATAAAATATACAGGATCTAAATTATAATATATTAAACTTAATTTTCTAAAATTTTGGAATATGTCCGCTAATAATACTGTATCAACATATTGGTATAATTTTAAATAGTCTTTGAAAGTTTCACAGCGAAATTTTTTCCAAATTAATTGAGCGTGACTGTAATCCTCATTTGTAATATGCTCTCCTGATAATTCGTTATAAAAACATTTTTTGGGGGGTAGCTGCGTTTCATTTAATATTCGTTTGTTTTTAAAATAGGAATATGGAAAAACACCTTTTCTTTTTAATAATTCTTTATATTTGCTATTGCGAAAAAAACGATTAAAATCGGAAAACTATAATTTGCATTTTTAAGATTGTCTGTTAAAGTAGAAAGAGAAGAATTTAAAAACTGATAACTATCAATAAATTTAAAATTATCTAATGAAAATGTTGTAAATTTTTCTGAATTTATAGGAATAATTTTAATTTTTGAAAATAATTTAGAAGGAATAATTTTAAAAATTAAATGCGAATCATAACCTGAAAAATTGTGCAATATAATTGAAATAAATGTTTTTAATCGGTAATTTAAATTACATTTATTATGGGCCCACCCTCTAAAAAATCTTGTTTGATGATCGTGATCCATTACACGGATATCATCATCATCAAATTTTTGGTTACAAATATGACATAAATGTTTCGAATTATTAGAAACAGTATTTAAATTAATTTCAACATTACTACTTATTTTACTTAACAAATTATTCAGCTGTCTTTGGATATCGATTAAAAACTTATTAACAGCATTATTGCCACAATAGAAATTAGCATTTATTATCTTCTCTTCATTTTCAATAATTATAATAGAATAACATATAGGTTTATGAATTTCAATAATTTTAGTAAAACTTACTTCTGGATCTATTTCATCGGAAGAAACCTCTTCCAAAATTGATTCAAAATTTGCATATATGCAGATCGTATGAAATAATGACTTTTCATGACAATGAAATTTTGCAATTGCATTATTTCCTTTTGGGGTGGATACTTTTTGATATTTATGATTAGAACAAAATTTTACGTGATCATTTAAAGTACATTTTCTTTCAAAACCATTTAAACTTAGCAACTTCGATCACGAGTAAGCCATCATCACAATTTATCTAAGAAAATCACTTTTAAACCTTAATAAATAATTAGTATGAATTAGTAGTTTCAGACCGTGATCTCTTCCAGGAAGAAATTAACTACTACTGTTGGTCCAATTAACTTCAACCCTGTTTAGAGATATTCCCGTCTTCCCATCGGATCAGAAATATGGTGGCATTCAAATATGACAATTACAGAATACGAAATTACCGGCAATAAAAAAATATGATTTAAGCGGTTTTCCAGGGTGCCGAGATAAAATATTTTGTCCGTTTTTTTGAGAACTTTTATTTGGTGGCAGATAACAGCTTGATATTCGTATGAGAACGGTACAACTTCTTACAGTTAACACTAAAAAAATATATAATATCTGAAAAAATTTAAATGCTTGTCTAGAATTTTCTGGTGAATTTGAATGCAAGACACAATGTCGAATATAACGACATCAAAAGAGTTCTTTCCAAGACGTAATTTTCACAAACATGTCGATAAATATCATAGAAACTTCGAAATACCGTACTTATCGTTTTCGAGTTAAAATCGCGTCTGCACGGTAAATTTAAAGGTTTATTTTCCAAGATGGCATGTCGGGTATTATGGAATATTAGGATAAATGGATAATCTGAAAGAAAAGGAGAAAGAGAAGGAACCAGAAGCTTCAAAACAACAAGAGAAACCGAACATTCAAAGACCACCCGTTAAGAAATTAAACTTAGACCGACCTTCTAGACCTAAACTTACTAGAGATGACTCCAGTGTTGGCAGCGATGAATCGTTCTATTCTGATGTATCATCTGTAATGGACTTCCTGCCATCAACTAAAGAACCAGAAAACGAAGATGCTGAATGTACCTTCTGTAACGGAAAATTCTCCGAAGATGAACGAGGGAAAATTTAGATTCAATGCTTCAGCTGTTCTCTGTGGGCTCGCCTTGATGGTGCTGGAGCAGAGAATAAAAATCATATCTGTGACTTTTGTAAATAGATTCTAAGCAGGAATTTTGAGAGCAGAAGCGGTTTTTATAAACTTTGTAAATGCTAATAACAAGTAAAATGGTCATGAAATCCTGCCCAACACAAAATATGACACCCATAATGACATGCACATAATCTTAAAAATATGGTTTTCATAGTTAAGAATAACTATTTTTTATGAAGTCTAATTAGTTTTTCAGTGGTTTAAACCATCTATTCCATATTACCCTCCATTTGTGACTTTTTTAAATACATTTATTTTATAACAACAAAATAAATAGCATTTTGTTACAAGTGACAGTTCATTACAATTAGTTATAGTATGTACTCTTGATGATTTTGGGATTTTTATTCAAAAACCAGTAAAGTTATTCTTAGAAATGTAAATGGTATTCCATATTACCCTCCTCATTTCTATATGTTAAGCTCAAAGATCGAAATAGCTCATTGAGCGAAAAAAACGACCGCAACGCGTTTCGTTTTTTTCGCTCAATTTGAAAAGACCACAACGCGTTGTGGTCTTTTCAAATAGGCTACGAAGTGAAATTCGCGTCGTGGCTTTCATGATATTTGACCATTACGCCTTGTGGTGATTAAGAGAAGCCATAACGCGTCCTGAACGTTAGCTGATGCAACCACGATACGAAGGATAGGTTGTAACTTGTCAACGGCCGCATTGCAAACACTTGAGGAGTTTGTATAGTGTTTATTCTCGTCCAGTGCTGCCGTTTCTAAGGTAATTATTCGTTTTTAGAGTAATTTCACCCGATCAAAGTAATGTTTCGGGTATTCTTATATTTAAGGTAAATCTGGGGTAAAATTACTGTGTTCTGATGCTATTACTCATCGCTCTACAAGTTTCGCAAGAAAAAATTTTAGCCTAATAACCATTCTGTATTTCCCTATAACTGGAGGGGTTTAGGATAGGACATCAAAAACTAAAGAAATAATGCAGATTGATGCTAAGTATATGGGTGTACAGTGACACTTCGGTTTCCGTAGATAATCTGTCCGAAAATTATGGTCGAAATCCGAAACCGACGATAACCGAAGTCAACGAAAACCGAGGTATTACTGTATATTACACCCGAGTAGGATTTCGCTTTTCTTAACCTTTCTTGCCATTGAGCCATTGGCACTCTCCATATCATATGTAAATTAATACAGTAGTGCGTTGTTTATCCGAAAGTATTTCAGTCGGCAAATTCATATATTCGCTATTGCCGTGGAGCTGCAATATTTGGCTATATCTTGGGCTACTCCAATATATATTTTTTTGGTTGATGTGTGTGTTTTAGCTGGCAGCACTGGCACTTTTGTGTGGTGTTTTCCCAAGACTGCGTGTTTTTTTGTTTTTATATTTCTCAATATATTTATTTTGTTTGTAAAAAATAAAGAAATAATTTTTAACGATACAATAGCCATAATTATTTTATAAAGTTTAAGTTAGGCTTAACATCGACGAAAATTCAACGCGAAGCGACGCGCAACGAAGAAAAATTTCAACAGGGGGATAGGTTAATATATTTTTTCGTGCATAATCGGTTATCCGAAAAATAAGTTATCTGAACAACCCCAGTCCCCAATTGATTCAGATAAACGGCGCTCTACTGTACTTCTAATAAAAACTAAAAATCGTAAGAAATTTTAGTTATTAAAATTTTCAAAAACAATAAGAATTGTTCTGATTATTATTTCACATTAATAGTACAGAGATCTGCGTCATACAATCGTTCGTCTTATTTTTTTTATTCGAGCTCGAGCTTGAGCTCGGAAGGTTTCCTCAATTTAGGATAATTTTTCGCGATTGAAATTACTTTGATTGTTTTAGTTAGTACAGTAGAGCGTCGTTTATCCGAATCAATTGGGGACTGGGGTAGTTCGGATAACTTATTTTTCGGATAACGAATCATGTACGAAAAAATATATTAATTTATACCATGTTGAAATTTCTCTCCGTTGCGTGTCGCTTCGCGTTGAATTTTCGTCGATGTTAAGCTTAACGAAGACTATTGTATCGTTAAAAATTATTTTTTATTTTGTACAAACAAAATAAATTTATTGAAGAATATAAAAACAGTAAAAAATTATACTTCAGATGTTAATTTAGTATCAAAAACGTAAAATATTTGAGTAGCCCGAGAAATAGCCGAAGATTACAGCGCCATAGCACTAGTGAAAATTTAAATTTGCCGACTGGAATGCTTTCGGATAACGGACGTTTCGGATAACCAGCTTTCGGATAAACGACGCTCTACTGTATGCATAATGTTGATAGGGAACATGCAGCTCTCAGAAATGTTTTAGCTGTTGTTACGAGTATTAATCCATCGGGTCTCTAACAGTTAGGAAACAAGGATAGTTTTTTCGATCGACTTTATGCTCGTAATGAATTTACAATTTCTACGGTAACTTTATTAACACTTCGCTCAGCATCCACGTTAACATCTGGAAATAAGTGAGAGTTTATAATGTGTCACTGTAAAGGATACTGTGTTGATAAAAGTGCAAATGTCGCTCAAAGAACATAAAATGCATGAATAATTAGAGCTTTTTGCAAAGTAACCAAGTTAAATTTCTGTATATGGTGAATAATTTTGTTACCTGCGTATATAAGATAATTGAAAATTAATAAATCTTAATGAAAAATGAAGTTTTTATTTTCTTATCATCGCTCGTTATTAGTTAACATCCAGAACGTGTGGTGGCTTTTAACCGTAATAAATCCGTCGCGCAGTGCTTTTTAATTTTAGCAGTTGA